TGCGCTGGGGCCCCCGTGCGCGGGGCCGCGCTCCTGGGCCGCCTCCGGGGCCCTCCCGCGCGGGGAAACGAGTGAGTGGAAAGTCCTCGCGAGGCTCCCTGGGGTCCGGGCCGTGACTCTGGGTCGGTCTAGTTGTTTTTTAAGGAGAAAACTGTGAGTTCAGCAGTGCTGGCCGGTCGTTCGCGCCGCAGCTCTGTAACTGCGCAGCTGTGAGTGCGGCCTCGGCCGTGGGGCCCTCACCGGCTGCTCTCTGGAGACGCTGCTTTTGCTGAAGTTAAAACGTAGAAGCCAAAGCAGTGCGGGAAGCGTGTTTGCCTTAAAAGAGCTGTCATCCCGGTCCTACGGCCTTTCTGCCCAGGGTGAAAGAAAAACATTCCAGGAGACCAGGCACTGTTAAAATGCCAGTGGTTTGGTAATGAGAAAGTGCTGGTTTTGCAGAGATATGTGCCTCTATGCTGCTTATATGATCCTCATTAGGGAGAAAGAGCCCCAGGCAGGTTTAATGACCCCCCCAAAAAAAGGTATTGTGGCTTCTCTGTGCTATAAATTGGACAAATCTGAAGCCCTTTATCATATGATTTATATATATATCTCCTGTGTGACTCTTTGGTCTCTCCAGGCAGTTCAAATGCAATTTAAGAAAAGCTGCTGAGTTCCTTTAAGGTTTAGTGGTCTACTTCATGAAGTTTTTATAAGAACTTAGCTATTAAAAAAAAAATCAGAAGGAACTCTTAATACTCGGACTGTAGTTTCTGTGCTTGTTTTTCCCCAACCCCCTACATTTTTCTTTCCTCTTTAAGTCTCACAGTTCCTCTGTAGCAGATAGTGTCTGTCTGAAGAATAGTTTATTGAGTCTTTTAATTGTGCGAAAGATGTAATTGCTTGTTTCTCTACCTTGTTATGAACAAGTAGGAAGTAATATCTAAACTGCAGTCTCATTTTTACTGCTTGATTCCTGGAGATCATCTCCTAAGAATGAAAGCTACTACTGAGCACTTCCACCAGAGAAATGTTGTGGGAAGCATGCATGTGCTGCAACATAAACCCCTGTTAGGAATTTGGAGAAAGTTTCCTGGTCTTCCAATAAATGTAACTGAGGTGAGAAGAGGGGTCTTTCTTGAGTCTTGGTTGGTACTGATTAGTCTCTTTTCTTCCCTACTCTGTATAGAGGAATGGCTACTTGTTGGTACCAAACAAGGGCATCTTCTTCTTTACCGGATCAAGAAAGATGCAGGTAAGTTGATTTTTGAGAATGGCACAAAAAGTTTCATGCCCTTTAGAGGTTATAGTGACATGAACACAGGTATATCTGATTGCTGATTCATCCTGATTAGGCTTTAATGAATATTCTGTGGGATCTGTGTACATACCAGTTCCCAGGTGTATGGGAAAGATGGCAAGTATCATGTGCCCATTTTCTCTTTTTAAATATGTTTTATATTAAGTCTACATGCAAAAAAAATAGTGTAGCTTTGTGATACGTTAACTTGTAGGTTAACTTAGACACAAGCAGTGCAAGTTGTCAGATGTGTGATGCTTGTCATCTGCTAATGAAAGCCTGGATTATTAGATCAGTTAAAAAAAAATAAAAAATAAAATAAAATAAAAAAAAAAGGAAAGAAAAGCTTTATTCATTAACATCCCAGTTTGGGGGCGGGGGAACCCTCCTAACTAGGCCTGCAATATATGTAATCTTCTCCTTGCCTCTTGGACAGTCAGTCATAAAGTCTTAGTCTATTCTAGAGATTCCACAAAGAGCATTATTGTATTTTTTAATTTAATCATAATTAGCTTTCACTGAACAGACCTCTGTTCTTTATTATGTGCTGCTGTATAGAAATAACCCGTGTTATTTAATGCACTAATGTAGTAGTGTGTGGGATAGCAAGGGGGGAAAAATCTGTTTCCACTGGCTTTTGGAAGGATGTTTATTTGTAGCTACTTGGCTTTTTGAGACTGAATTCAGCTTACGCCTTTCCCAAAACTTGTAGGCCATCTATTCCAATCAGAACATGCTAGACCTGAGTTATTAGTGTTTTATCTCACATGGTAAATTTTTCCCCCTTTTTTGCATCAATGCCAGGAGAGGTTATGTCATCAGAAAGTATCTGTAAGTGTTTATCCCTAAAACTCCTTTTAAACCCTTGTGGTGCAGTGTTTATTCCTTGTCTACTTTGCAGTGATGTGTTCCCTAGCAATTTAAGTTGCTGACGTTTCATTGATGTAGATAAGTCTTTGGGTGCACTTTTATCTCTGGGTTTCGGCATATTTAAATAAGAAATATTGTAATCTAAAATCCCAGCAAGACAAAAATCTTAACTGTTGATGAGGTCCTCAGATGGATACAAGAAGTATAACTTAAATCTCTGCCTGGCTATGTAGAAGAGCACCTGATGCATTTAGCTATTAAGTAAAAGAGATATTAGAGTCGTTCTTCTCCTGTTAAATGACCAATTTTCATTTCATAATTCTCAGTGTTCTATTTAGCGTAAGATTTACCCAGCCATAAATTTAAGGGGATTTCAGTTTACATATTCCCTTCCCTTTCTTTGGAAGGTTGCAATAGGTTTGAAGTGACGCTGGAGAAATCCAACAAGAACTTCTCAAAAAAGATTCAACAGGTAAGAAGTGCCAGCTTCCAGGCATGTGGCATCTTACTGTGTTTTCATCTGAGATCCCAAAATGTCAGATGTGCTCCTGGATCTGTGCTGGGGCTTAACACAAATCTGCAGAGCTATAGATTCTTCTGGGTGCAGTGTAGCCCACTATTTCTTCCTAAAATAAGCAGCAGCTTGGTTTGGTTGCTGAAGCAGAATGCTAAGAATTGGGACTTTGATTTCTAGCTTTTATGGAAGTAGTTCAGTTTGCAATACACCTCTAGCTTCCCTGAGAGTATTTGTAAAAATAATTGAATGGAATTTGTTAGTTGAGAACTAAAGTAACTGTTTCTATTTTAAGGTAGTCTTTTTACTCTTTTATTTGTTGGGGGAACTTTAGCTCATTTATTATATTCATACTCAAAAAGGCACTCAAAAAAGATTATGCAGCTTCTTTCAGCAACATCCTGCACATCCTTTACTATACTTTTGTACTAGTATATGTTCCCTATTCCAAGCTTTCTTAGAAATATAGATTGAAAGCTCTGTGTTCTAGCTTGTAAAATTCGGGTATTTGTGAACAAGGGAGGTTACAATACGTGGAGGGGAGGCAGTGTATTGATATTTGGCTTGCTGTTTCCATTATTTTGAGAGAGTGTGGTGTGTGGGTTTTTTTTTTTTTTTGGTCTTAATAATGTGTATAATCAAGCTTCAGTCAGATGTTGGGCTTGTGAATACAGTCTGATAAAAATATTTCTTTCAGATTCACGTTGTCTCCCAATTTAAAATTCTGGTCAGTTTATTAGGTAAGTGGGAAAAAACCATTTTAATATTTAGTGAGTTCTTGGTGCAGTTATGTGACTGAATGTGACATCCCTTCCGCACAGCAGCATAGTGGTCTGTTTGTAGAAAAGTCATTGCCTGGGATTTAGGCTCTTTGACTTTGCAGACGCAGTATTATGCAGCATAGACTGAGAAGCCGCTTTGCTTGTCATAAACCAGCTTGGCAAAGTATGATTAAGAATTTGTATATAGACGATACATGTGGTGGTGTTTATGTATAAACATCTTTTTACACAAACAAACTCATCTGACGTTTGAAACTTGCTGTTGATGCCTTATGCTCACGTCTGCTTCTGTGTGCACAGCAGTCTTTCACCATCTTGTGGAATGTCTAAGTTTGCTTGATTGTGGCTAAATTTAGTTAACCTCATGATCTTCCTATGTCTTTTTTTTTTTTTTTTGGCTTGTGTTGCTACTTCCTCCTTTATGATCTCCAAGTCCCAGCTCTTCAGTCCCCAGCATGTGTAGGTTGCTGCTGCCTGTGTCCTTGCGCATACAAAAACTTGACCACAGCACCCTCTGCTTGCAGCCGTTCCCTTCCCACTACCTGGAGGAGCCGGTTCAGAATGGCCTTTGCTCGTGCAGTATTCCATTGGGAACTTGCTCTGCTCTGGTTTACCTGCCTACTTCTGCTCCCCTTCTTACTTAGCACCTGAACTTGGTCTCTTTGTGTCATTTTGCTGAAGCTTTTGTTAGTCGTCTTTGGTGCTTATCATGTATTCTTGTGCAGCACTTGCTTCTCAGTTGTTGTAAAACATTTATCTTCCTTTCTTGCAACTCTTAATTTCTCTCACAAGTTCTGCTCTAAACATAAACTGTGATAATTTCTTTGAATTTGTCATGAGCTCTACATGTATTAAGTATTGAACAATAACTGAAATTTTGTTTAAAACAGAGAATAACATTTATGTCCACGACCTGTTGACATTTCAACAAATCACTACAGTTTCCAAGGCAAAAGGTGCATCTCTCTTCACTTGCGATCTCCAGGTAAGAGGAGGAACGCCATGTCACAGGTACCCTTGCTGCTTTGTAATGAGAATAGTGTGGTGGGGTTTTTTTATGTTTTTGGGAAAAGCTGCTCTGTTAGTTTGGTGTTATGTGCAAGCCACTTGGACATTATTACCTAATTATGCATGTGGAATGTACCTCCCTTAAGGTAACAAAATCTAATGTAGGCATTTTAGTTTTCTTCTTGTGCTTTGTAAGAGGAGCTGCCTGTTAAGACTGTAGCCTTTCACCTTCTGATATAAAGCTCTAAGGCATCTTTATCCTGTTGTCTTTGTGAACTCTTATCCTATGAACTTTTGGAGGTCCCTTTTTGAAGTGCTCTCTTCACTATAAAAGCTAGTCCTTTCTCTGAGGTTACCAGTGTTATAGTTCGCAGCTTTTTTTTTTTTTTTCCTCCAAGCATCTCAATCACTATTTCTGGGCAACGGTGGCAGATTCAGGGCAGAGTTCCATAGGGCATAGCAACCTTCCTTTCATATTCTGTGGTTTATAAAAGTGACTCCTTTCTATCCAAGTGAGTTTCTCACCCTACCTGTGTTATTCAGAAACTTTATTCATCACCTGAAGAGTAGTTTAGTATCTTTTCTCAGTTATTTTGTATCTTCACCACAGGGGAGCTAAATATTAAATCTTTTTTTAATAATAAGTACCTAGGTTTTCTAAATTTTAAGACTAGCTATATCTTTTAAAGTGTATTTGAGTACAGTCGCTCCAAAATGCCTTATTGTTTGTATATGGGTATTTGGATTTGCTGGTATTATCAGGAAACTTTTCCAACAGACTAGAATCTAAAACAGAGCTATTGATGCTTTCATTCGTCAGTGTAACATGCTCTGTGTTATTCCATTTCATTAAATCTCCTGTGTGCAAAGAGTTCAGTCTGTTTATCCTAGTCCTATATGGAAAGTTATGTGTTCAGCCCCGATGATGTATGCCGTGTGCATATCTTCAGTGAGAGATATACACACACACATATATATATGTATGTATGTTTTTACTTTTGAGGTGTCACGATCCCTGTCATCTAACCACAGTCGATACTCAAGTACTGCATCACCCTTCTGTCTGTGCTTCCTTATTTAGGAAATCCCCTCTGGTGTGGATGAGTAAGGCCGTTCTTTGGCTGACAGCTTTGCTTGAGTTTGAGTCTTCTGGCTTTGTATCATTTTTGGGGCCTTCTGGTGGTAACGTGTTATGTCTGTGTGTTTTCACAGCATTCAGGCACAGGGGAAGAGGAACTGAGAATGTGTGTTGCAGTACGGAAGAAGCTGCAGCTTTATTTTTGGAAGGACAGAGAATTTCACGAACTACAGGTGAGTTGTACTGCTTCTGCTGGTTGTGTGTCTCTGGAGTAGAGTTGCTCTTTGCTCCCTGCTGTGAAGTCCCTATTACTCACTGTCACATTACTCACTACTTGACCTTGCTGACTTTGAATTGGTTCTGTGGTGATTTAACAAAGCAACAGAAAATTATGGAGAAAATAGGTAATTGAAATGGCAAATAATGGCCTGAATAGTTTCATAAATAAAACCAAAGATTGTTCTGTGTTATGGTAACATTCCACTAGCAGTATCCTTGTACATCAGTGATATCGCAGTGGCAGTGGGTTCTCTTTTACCCAAAGGCTTCCAAGCATATCAGGATGTCAGAAGGTAGGTACTGACAGCAAGAGCAGGGAGCTCCACTTCTGAATATCAGAAGAATTATTTAAAGAAGAATAACTTTCTACACATTCCTACTAGTTCAGCTGCGCTGGTCTCTTAAGAAGCTGTGCAGGTGATTGAGAGCACACTTTTCTCTTGTGCTTGAATCCAGCCTTTAGCTCAAAACTGCCATTCATGGGCCAGGAACAGAACAGAGCAGAATGGTACTGCCTGTTGCACTCTGTGATACCTGATTAGGCTCCCCTCTGCATCTTCCTGTAACATGAATT